CTGCTGCAGCACGGCCACCTGAGGACCGGGCCCCTGTGCCTCCCCGTGTCCGTGGACCCGCCCCCGCCCAGCTACTCCGTGCTCACGCCCGACGTACGTACGTGCCCGCTTCCGGGGCGCACCGATCCCGGCTCCCTGGGGTCCCGGCTCGGGCCCCATCCACGCCCCTGCGAGGCTCGGGATCCCCCGCAGTCCCTCCCGCGCCTGCACGCCCATCACCCCTGCGTGGATGCTTCTCTTTGTCCCCTGTGTGTCCCTTCCTGTCCCCCATGCAGCCCTTCCCTCTGCACTCCCTGTCTCTTGCCAAGGTGCCCCCTGCCTGCCTCTCTGCCCTGTTCCTCCATTACAGCCCTTCTCCGTTACTGTCCCCCGAGAGTACTCCAAGAACCAGGTACAGCGACACACGCCTGTTTTCCAGCACTTTGGGAGGCTGAGGCAGGAGAATCACAAATTCAAATCCCACTCGGGCAACTTAGCGTGACCCTGCCTCAAAAATAATTATTTTTTTCTTGGTATTTTTGAGATAGGGTCTCAGCTATATAGGTCAGGCTACCCTTGAATTCACTGTATATCCCAGGCTGGCCTCAAAGTTGAGGTGAACCTCCTGCCTCAGCCTCCCAAGTGCTGGTCAAAACAAATTTTGGAAAGGACTGTGGGTGTTGCTCAGTGCAAAGGCCCTGGGTCCGGTCTCCCATCCCTCTCTCTCTCTCTCTTTCTCTTTCTCTTACACACACACACACACACACACACACACACACACACACGTATTCCCAGGACCTGCACCAGCTTCATGCCCAGGGGGTCTCCGGTCTCTCATTATGAGTCTTTCTCTGTAGTAATGTGGACCCCATGTTCATTTCCGGTGTCTCCCTGAGCACGTGCTTTCCAGCCTGCCCCGCAGACGCCCTTGTCCGCTGGGACTGGGCTGGTGGCAGGTTCCTGGCTGCTCCCTGGACCGGGCCACGCTCAGCCCACGGGGGTGGCGCAATGGCTGGATGGCCTGGGTGGCCTGATCCGTGGGGGAGGGTCGGCCAGTACCCACCCCCCCTCCTCCCCCAGGTGGCGCTGCCGGGCATGCGCTGGGTGGACGGCCACAAGGGCGTGTTCAGCGTGGAGCTCAGGGCTGCGTCCTCTGTGCACCCCCAGGTATGGGGTGGGGTGGGAAGCCCCGCTCTGCACCCATGCCCTCCCGAGGGCCCTGCGATTGGGCAACACCGGCGGCTGGCCAGGGAGGTCTTGGCCTGGGTCCCTGGATGTGACCCATTGGCCGGAAGCTGCTGACTCAGGGGCTGTCTGGAGCGGGGTTCTGCTTGCTGCCCTGAGTCCTGCCCCCCAGGACCCCCACCTGGACAAGTTCTTCACTCTGGTGCACGTCCTGGAGGAGGGAGCCCTCCCGTTCCGGCTCAAGGACGTCGTGCTGAGCGAGGGCACCGTGGAGCAGGAACTCCGTGGCAGCCTCGCAGGGCTGCGCCTGGCCAGCCGCGAGCCCCTGGTGGCCTTCTCCCACCACGTGCTGGACAAGCTCGTGCGTCTGGTCGTGTGGCCCCCTATCATCGGCGGCCAGATGGGTGAGCAAGCGTGGCCTTGGGCCCTGGTGTCCCTGTGTGGAGAGCGATCCTGAGTTTCCTCCTGTATTTATTTTTCTGGCCTCAGTTCCCCCATGCGAAAAATGCCTACCCAGTCCCTGTCCCCAGAGCAGGTCCTCTGCGCTCCCCTGGACGGTCACGGGAGTCCTTGGACCCTAACGTCTCTTCCTCTGAGGGCGAGTGGAGGGTGAGAGGCCTTGGGCCCTGAAACCTGAACTCTGCTTTGCCCGACAGTGAACTTAGGCCGCGGGGCCTTTGAAGCAATGGCCCATGTGGTCAGCCTTGTCCACCAGAGCCTGGAAGTGGTCCAGGACTCCCGTGGTCACTGCCCGCTGCTGGCTGCCTATGTCCACTACGCCTTTCGCCTCCCTGGGGCTGAGCCGAGCCTCACAGGTGGTGAGTGTTGGTTGAGAAGCTTCGGGATACAGGGAGAATCAGAGAGAGCAGCACATGCAAGGGCCCTGGGGTTGCACAGGGTTACCTGGTTTGCAGCTTATAGGAACGATAACATCTCACTCACTTCCACCCCAGGCGTGTGGTCTGTACAGCTGACCGGCAGCTCATTCCGCCGGTCAGCACCTTTAGTACCCTGGAGCAGAGACTCACGGGGCGTTACTCTGCGGTTTCCGGTGTGTAACAGTGGCCTTCTGTGCCCATTGTACAGTGAGGACCCTGGACGTGGAGAGAAGCGCAGTGACTGCCCCGAGGGCTGCCAGTTGGGCAGGGCCTGGGAGTCATGTGCGCAGCGGGCTGTGGCTGACCCGATCCCTCTGTCTCTGTCCTCAGGGGCCCCTCCAGTGGCGGTGCAGGCTGCCACGCTGTCTCGTGGCTCCGGCCGCCCCGCCAGCCTCTATCTGGCCCGCTCTAAGAGCATCAGCAGCAGCAACCCTGACCTGGCGGTGGTCCCCGGCTCAGTGGACGAGGAGGTGTCCCGCATCCTGGCCAGCAAGGTAGGGCGAGGGGCCCGGGATCCCCAGGCGTGGGGGCCGAGGCTCCCATTAGGCAGTGAAGGTGCTCGCTGAGGAAAGGCGAGAAGCAGCCGAGACCCCCACTCGAGGGGAGGCTGACTCGGGCGGGGGAGCCGGGCTGCGGCGTCACAGGCTGAGGGCCGGAGTCAGCCTTCGTGCTGGGCTCGGGACTCCATGACTGACGCGAGGATGGGGCATGGTCCAGGTGACAAGGCAGTGTGTGTGTGGCGTAGCGGGTTATACGCTCCTGCAGCCGTGCACATGGGCGGACAGGCACACACACGTGCACACACATGCTCAGGCGCATATGCACGTGCATACCCCATGCACGTTTGCATGTGGCCACATGTATGTGCGTACTCCATGCGCATGAGTACACATTGGCCTGTACATGCATGTGTACCTGTACTTGGGTGCCTAGAGCATACAGGCATGCCCCGTGCACAT